TAACTGTGTTTGTTTAATCCCACATCCTACATGTGGAGCAATGTGTTGAGTAAGGACTCAGCAAACAGGTATCATTCCCTCAAAAACTGCATCAGAACTTTGGTAAAGTAGCTTTTTTACAGAGTAACAGAAGTGTACTGTCTAGGGAAAGTGCATGTACTCAATGCAAAGCATTTAAGCCTGTTTTTTATGTCCTCTATCAGATGGGTTCAGAGACTCTTTAGACTGCAGCTGCAGGAAAAAGTGAGGAAATGGAGCTTCCAGATTCTTCTCCCATTTTGAAAAATCCCATCCTTTTGATTCAGTGGCACTCTGGCGGTGGTGGCCAGAACCGAAAAGATAGCAGTGGTGAAGAGACACAGAGACATTAAGGAGCTTTTGGAGATAGTCCTTCTTTAGTTGCCTTTGTTCGTCCTTCCACTCTTCCTGATCACTGAACTTGGGAGTGTCACAGTACACGTAAACTGCGTTTAAGCTCAGTTCCTCTTTAAAAAATTTACTTATAGTTATTGTGGTTGCAAAATAGTTGTATATCTTTATAGGGTACATGTGATGTTTTGATACAGGCACACAATATGCATTAATAAAATCAGGGTAACTGGGGACCCATAACCTCAAGTGTTTATTATTCCTTTGTGTTAGAAACATTCCAATTCCACACTTTTGGTGATTCTAAAGCATACAGGGTACCCCAAATGTCACCATATGCAAGAGAAATGGGAAACTGCAGCTAAATGTAACTTTATTTACAAAATATTCATTGCAAAAATTTTCAAAGAGGTGGCCAATGTGTACAGAATATTTTGTATGGCTCAGTGCCCATAGCTCAGTGAGTAGGGTGCCAGCCACATACATCGAAGATGGCAGGTTTAAGCCTGGCCTGCGCCTGCTAACCAACAATGACAGAATAGTTCATAAACATTTTATAATTTTTTTATTATTTGATCACTCATCTATTGACAACTTGCATCATTTATTCAGTGCTATATTAAACAGTGTAATGGAAGATAGATTAATAGCTCCAAGCCTCCTAACAATTTAAATGAAAATTACAAAATGTTTGGGCAGCACCTATGGCTCAAAGAAGTAGGGCAACGGCCCATATACCAGAGGTGGCGGGTTCAAACCTGGCCCTGGTCAAAAACTGCAAAAAAAAAAAAATAATAATAAAAAAAAATTACGAAATGTTTGAGACCCTATTTTGGAGTACAAAGAGTGGTTGACTTCCAATTTCCATTCTCTGTAGAACAAGAACGGGTCATTCCTTTATTGACATGCATAAAACACACCACATTTTCTGTTCTGCTGATGCTATATATTCAACACCAGTTCTCTAACCACATCAGTTATGAGCCTAAAGTATTTCATGTAACCTCAAATCTCTCACAGTGGAAGGCTTAACCAAGAATGGATGCTGCCTGAATAGAGCTGCTTCCTTTGATGTGACAACTGAGCCTCCATCTCCCTCCCCCTCAGGTGATTTCTTCAGCATGTTAGAGCAGTGAGGAATGGTTTTAGTCTCATAACCAAATTAGAGGGAAGACATTGGCCACTTAATACACCATGCTGCAATTTTTTTTTTTTTTAAGTCTGAGGCTTGGGCAACTGTTCTCTTGTAACTACTTTACAGCTTCTAAAAGCAATTGTTGTCCAAAGCTGGAAGAACTTAGTCTTCTCCGATAAGCATGTGAATGAATGGAGGGAGGTAAACAAAACATAAAATTAAAAAAAGATGAGCTCTGATAGGGGAGCAGCCAGATAAGAACAATCAAAAAAGCAATAGCAATGTAAAGTTTATTCCAGCTACGATGCAGGTTATTCTGACCTGAAGGTGGCTTCCCATGGCATACTTTTGAGTCCATTTCTGAGATATTCTGTTGTACTTATCACTGTCTGTTTTATAGATCTGTGCAATCTCTGGCACTAGGGGGTCATTTGGGCTTGGATCACATTAACAGTGAACAAATGGATAAAAGAACTTTAGAAGTAGTTGAAGCAGGAGACCACTGTGGTCTTAGAATATTGAGACAAACGCTGCCATGATTGTTAATATTTGGATGATAAATTCTTGTTGCAAATGCCATCTTAGGTGGTTTGAAGGGGTAGTCTGTAGGAAAATGAATTGCCAAAAAGAATACACCACCCCGATATGGGCTGTCATTGGGTCCCATAATTGTGGCTTGCTGCTGAAGCATATCATGCCCAACTGGACCTGCAGAAGAACATTGTGCTGGAGGGTCACGGGCCAGATCACTAAATTCCTTATTAATCTGTTTCAGTGCCATAGTCTGTGTTTTTTCGTCTGGCTCCTCACTATCCTGGTGTGTGCTCAAAGGTCTGGCCAAAACTTTTGATTATCCGGGCGACAGGGAAGGTTTATCTTGTCTCACACTGGCTCTGCCAGACACAGGTGCAGAGGGGCGGGGGCCTCCCTCAAGCTGCAGCCTGGGCCTCCTCCCTGCGCAGCAGCTGGTGCTTCCCCTGCCCCACGGGGCTCACCTGCACCATTTTGTAAAATTTGTAATGCATAATTTGTAAATAAAGGTACACTTAGCTACAGTTGCTCATTTTCTCTATATATGATGACTATGGGGACATCTTGTACAATAAATACTTCTCCGGGGGCCTCTCAGTCAGTCTGATAACCACAAATGCCGTCTCTACCCTAAATTTCTCAAATCTCTATATTCAAACCTAATCTAGCCCTGAAATTTCTAGATTTATTTTCTCTTCACCTACTTGACATCTCTGCTTGGATGTTTCCCGGGCGTTTCAAATTCAACGTCACTGCACACCTCCATCCACCTTTTTGGTTTCAGAATTTAATCCAGTCTTCTTTTAACCTCTTTACTTACATACAAGGTCTCTGAAAAGGTTTTAATAGCATCAACTCCGTCTAGTTTTTAATCTCTGGGGAGAGATGGAGTGTTTAATTTATTTAATGGTAAATGGGTACATAGTGCCATTTGAATTTATACCTAATGTGGAAATGTCAGATATATCCATTTTCCAATGATAAAAATAGCAAACACCCCTTAAGTACTTTATACCTTTCATGGTACTATGTTTCAAGGGCATTAGTTCACGTAGTTCCTGAGAAGTAGGCAATTTTGTCCTATCTAACAGGTACAGAAAGTGAAGAGGAAGAGGGAAAGGTTAAGCAGGTACAGAAAGTGAAGAGGAAGAGGGAAAGGTTAAGCAAAGTATCCCATCCAATCAATTTGAAACCACTATGACTTACTTCAAAGTCTATGCTCCAGGTAATTGCATTATTTATGACTGGCTCTACTCCTCTTAACCAAATCTCTATGCATTTCTTTCTGAAAGAAATAAGGAAATGCATAGATGAAGGTGAAGTCTCGACCCACAGGTTGTGAACTGCTGGCTTAGTAGTTCCAATTTTTTTTTCTAGCCATGATGGAACTTAAAACGTTAGGGGGGAGTATCACAAATTTTGTTTAGAGGGAAGGACTGATAAAAAAAGGAAATAGAATGAAGAACACTGGGGTAAAGCCTCAGAATTTGGAGTCAAATTCTTACTCCAACACACTAATTTCCTGATAATTGAATATGCCAGAATTTCATAGGGCATCTAGCCACATGTCTTTTAAGTGATGATTTTCCTGGGTCCCTCCTTATTACTTAAGATTCATTTGAAGCCCATGGATACTGGGGTGACCATGTTTTATAAAAGCAAGGGAGTGATATTTCAAATATCTTGGATTATAATACTGTTTCTTCCATTCTGACGGCTTTTTCGTTCTCTTAGCAGTGCATTTTAAAGAGCAGAAGTTTTTAATCTCAATGAATTACAATTTGTTATTCTTTTCTTCTATGGTTGTATTTTCTGTGGCATGTCTTAAAAGCTATAGAGATTATCTCCTATTTTTTTCCTTAAAAGTTTTAAGTTTGAGCTGTTAAATTTAATTTTATAATCCATATGGTGTTATTTTTGCATATTATGTGAGGTTAGGGTCTAAATTCATCTTTTGTTGCATATAGATATCTAATTGCTCCTGAACCATTTTTTTTGTTGTTGTTTTGAGACAGAAAAAAAAAAAAAAACACTCACTTTGTCACACTGGGTAGAGTGCCATGGCATCACAGCTCACAGCAACCTCAAACTCTTGGACTTAAGCAATTCTCTTGCCTCAGCCTCCTGAGTAGCTGTGACCACCAGCGCCCACCACAATATCCAGCTATATTTAGAGGCGGAGTCTCGCTCTAGCTCTGGCTGGTCTCAAACTCATGAGCTCAGTCAATTGCCCGCTTTGCCTCAGCTCCCAGAGTGCTGGGATTACGGTAATGAACCCCTGAACCCTGCCCCGGAACCTTTTGTTGTAATGACTATTCCCCTCTCCCCGTGGATTATTTTGGGAAAGTCAATTGATTAAAAATATAAGTGTTTCTTCTTAATTACTTCATTGATTTACATGTGACTCCATATGACAGTCCTAGTCTACATACAGCCTACACCTTTACACGTACTGTTTCCATTCAAATATCATGTGACCCGGAAGCTGACAGAGATACCTTTCCCAGAGTGCTGTGCGTCGTGAAAAGGTTACTCACAAGCGCTAGGGGCACTTTGTGGTGACTGGCGCTGGCGACAAGATGCTGGTGTCGCCTGCGTAACCTGGTCCCTCTGAGCCAGAGACAACGGCTGTGGTGGTCTCAGTATCGCTGCCCTAGTTCACCGCACACCTTTTCCAGCCCACAACGTCGCTGAGAAGGTGAGGAAGCGGCGGCGGCCAATTGTCCCAGTCTAGTGACCGCGGAATCGCTCACAAACTGTGACCTAGCATAAAGAAACCTGACTAAGCGGTTGTGATCAGGTTCCCCTTGACTGATTTTGGGCCTTATAGCAGAGGGAAAGCCACCATATTCTGTTTCCTGCCACCCTTCTCTGAAGCCTTGCCCCGGGGACGAGCCCTAGACGCCTCCATTTTCCCCTCAGAGTTATCCGGGCTTGGCCCCAGCCTCCATCTTGGTTTCTCAAGATGGCGAGCAGCAGCGGCCCCAAGACTGAGTTCATTGTGGCAGGGAAATATAAACTGGTACGGAAGATGGGGTCTGGCTCCTTTGGGGATGTTTTTCAGGCAATCAATATTACCAACGGGGAGGAAGTGGCAATAAAACTAGAATCTCTGAAAGCCAAGTATCCCCTGTTGCTATATGAGAGCAAACTCTATAAGGTTCTTCAAGGTGGGATTGGCATCCCCCACATATGGTGGTATGGTCAGGACAAAGACTATAACATATTAGTCATGGATCTTCTGGGACCCAGCCTTGAAGATCTCTTCAATTTCTGTTCAAGAAGATTCACAATGAAAACTATACTTATGCTAGCTGATCAAATGATCAGTAGACTTGAATATGTGCATTCTAAGAATTTTATACATAGAGACATTAAACCGGGTAACTTCCTGATGGGTCCTAGGCGTCACTGTAGTAGATGTTTAGAATCTACTATGGGGAAGAGGAAAAGAAGCATCCCTGGTACTCCTCCCCCGGACCCATCTTTCTCAGCATTAAACCAGGTATACCTTATTGATTTTGGTTTGGCTAAAAGGTACAGAGACAACAGGACAGGACAACACATCCAATACAGAGAAGATAAAAACCTCACTGGCACTGCTCGATATGCTAGCATCAATGCACATATTGGTATTGAGCAGAGTCGCCGAGATGACATGGAATCATTAGGATATGTTTTGATGTATTTTAATAGAACCAGCCTGCCATGGCAAGGACTAAAGGGTACAACAAAGAAGCAACAATATGAAAAGATTAGTGAAATGAAGATGTCCACTCCTGTTGACGTTTTATGTAAGGGGTTTCCTGAAGAATTTGCCTTGTACTTAAAGTATTGTCGTAGCCTGCGCTTTGAAGAAAACCCAGATTACATGTATCTGAGGCAGCTATTCCGCGTTCTTTTCAGGAACCTGAACTACCAGCATGACTACATATTTGATTGGACAGCGTCAAAGCCAAAAACAGCACAGCAGGCAGCCTCTTCCAGTGGGCAGGATCAGAATACCCAACCCCCCCCAGGTTTCTAAGGAATTGAAGAACAGAAGAAGCAGCATTTGTTTCTCCCCAAATCTAGAAATTTTCGTTCATATAGACACTAGCCAGTAGAGAGCCAGTGGTTGTGGACATTCATTTACTTGATGTAAAGAACTGAATTTCAGTATGAACTGGTCTGCCTTAGTGATGTTGTATCCTGAGTTGTAGATGCTATAATTGTGAGTATTAACTGAGAGAGTGAAAAATGGTGTCTGGTTTTCTATTGCATTTTTTTCATGGAAAAGTTAACTAAATGGTTGATACAAATTGATGGAGAAATTGTGTATATGCTGTGCTAATTTTTTGTTAAAACTTATTTTGAACTATTACTGCTTTGTTATCTCATTTCAGAAGAATCGCATGAACAGTCTTCAGACATGGTGTGATGGTTGTAAATACTCACAAATTGTTCATTCTTGGGGTTTTTCCATCCCTGGGGTTTGCAAATTGGTCACTTAAAAAATTCTTAAAATGGTTGGTTTCTTGTTTGCCAATCTGATACAGTAGCAACCAAAGAGTCTAGTGTTTGAGTGTATGAAAAACTGCCTGCTTACCTGTGCTAGAAATAACAGCATTTGAAGTGAAGACATAAGAAAAACTTAGCGACTACTACATTATCCTTATGACTGTGCATTAACTCTATAATGTTCTCTTTTGTTTTCTTTGAGACAGAGTCTTACTTGGTCACCCTTGGTCGAGTGCCGTGGCATCTTAGCTCACAGCAACATCAAACTCTTGAGTTCAAGCCATTCTCTTGCCTCAGCCTCCCAGCTAGCTGGGACTGCAGGCACCCGCCACAACACCTAGCTATTTTTTAGAGACGGGATTTGGCTCTTTCTCAGGTTGGTCTCAAACTGGTGAGCTTAGACAATCCACCTGCCTCAGCCTCCCAAGCAGTGGATTATAAGCGTGAACCATTGCGCCTGGTTATTAATGTTCTTGGTACTAAAAAAAAGCTTTTTTTTTTTAGAAGTTTGAATTTTATTGCATTGTAGATACCCAATGGTTTTTTTTTTTAATTTTTGTATTTATTTTTATTTTTTGTTTATTTTTGTATTTATTTATCTTTATGTTTTATTTATTTTTGTATTTATTTTTATTTATTTTTTATTTTTTATTTATTGTTTATTTTTTATTTTTTTGAGACAAGAGTCTCACTTCATTGCCCTGGGTAGAGTGCCGTGACATCATAGGTCACAACAACCTCAAACTCTTAGATTCAAGCCATTCTCTTGCCTCAGCTTCCCAGGTAGCTGGGACTGCATGCGCCTGCCACAGCACCTGGCTATTTTTTGGAGACAGGGTCTGGCTCTTGCTTAGGTTGGTTTTGAACTCGTGAGCCTCAGGCAGTCCACCTGCCCCAGCCTCCCAAGTGTTGGGATTACAGGAGTGAACCACTGCACCCAGCTTACAATGTTCTCGGTATTAAAGAAAACCAAAAAACAATTTTTTTAAAAGTTTGAATTTTATTGTGTTGTAGATACCAAATGTTTTTTTTAATTTTTTAATTTTATTCATTTTTGTATTTATTTATTGTTTTTTTTTTTGAGACAAGAGTCTCACTTCATTGCCCTGGGTAGAGTGCCGTGGCATCATAGCTCACAACAACCTCAAACTCTTAGATTCAAGCCATTCTCTTGCCTCAGCCTCCTAGGTAGCTGGGAATTCATGCACCTGCCACAGCACCTGGCTATTTTTTGGAAACGGGGTCTGGCTCTTGCTCAAGTTGGTTTTGAACTTGTGAGCTCAGGCAATCCAGCTGCCCCAGCCTCCCAAGTGCTGGGATTACAGGAGTGAACCACCGCACCCAGCTTACAATGTTCTCGGTATTAAAAAAAAAAAAAAAATTTTAGAAGTTTGAATTTTATCGTGTTGTAGATACCCAATGGGTTTTATTTTATTTTTTTTTTATTTTATTTATTTTTGTATTTATTTGTGTTTTTTTTTATTTTTTTGAGACAAGAGTCTCACTTCATTGCCCTGGGTAGAGTGCCGTGACATCATAGCTCACAACAACCTCAAACTCTTAGATTCAAGCCA